CTATTGCCATGATAGTGAAAATGATCATTTCGGATGTAATCACTGCATCTACGAAAGCAACGATGACTGTGACCGACGATGCGGCAGCTGCGATCGTGACAAAGAAAATGACTGTAGTAGTCATGTGATAGCCTCAATCATCATCGTCGTAATGACAGTCGTTACTAAGAAACTTATGACTGAGGTCGTGACCATTCCATCATCATGACTATAACAGCCATTTTCGCACTGATTATAATAGATTGACTATTGTACATTTCTGCAAAAATGCACAAATGAATGTACATGTATTGGGATAACTTCTGGCCTAGTTGGTTTGTTTCCATCAGTGATGGCAAGCTAACGAAGAACGCAATTATCACCAATACAACAGTCTTCACCACGTTAACTACAATCTTCAGTTTAAATAGTCACAATCGCTATTGTCCTTATCATAATCGCAAACACTATCACCGCTACCGCTGTCGTCTTCATTCAGTCAATGCCCATTTTCGAACTCTTTTAGCCCATCCGCAAGGAGGTCAGTTTATTAATGGCAAAAGTTGTCAAAGCCGGTAGAGCGTCAGACTGAGAGCCGACAGGTACCGGGCGGGAGCAATGATCGGTTACACGACGTTACTCCGTACGATGTTGAAGAATGCACAAACAGCTCTGTAGTAATGAGTAATACTCCGGTCGTCCAACGGACATAATTAAATTAGGCACTACGGCCATGCCGTTCAGCCTGATTGACGAAGACGCACATTGTGTGGGAAGGAAAGAGGAAACTACACACTGTTTGTCTTTCAGACTTTGTCTTGAATATAAGACAGCCGTGGCTGAAGGTACGGTAGCAAAGATCAGCAACCCACACTCAACTTCATGAAAAGGCACCAAAAATCACCCCATCATGAACGTGCATACAGATGATCGATATCGAAAGAGCACAAACTTTCATTTTCTCAATTGTACAGTAATGCAGAAAATTCAATGACGCTTATTCCAGGTCATTTTGTAGAACAACAGTACCGCTTGTTTTTGTTTAATCAACTAATAGTGTTTTTATCGAATAATATGACAATGTCGGATGATATCAGCAGGTACTTGATCTCACATGTCGCTTTAAACTGAGGCTGCGTTTCCTTTCGAAAGAATCGCATAAAAGGCTTTTAACAACTAATCATTTACAGGGGAACAACGAGAGAAACGTCATAACCAAAAAACCAACGTAGATTAGGCGAGTGGTTGGTTGATATTTCGGCGCCGTATTTTATGTACACGGAGAATTCTTTACCATGACTGTCGAAGAAAATCACAAAACACTGTGTTAACCCTCAACGCGTTTCTGTCTCTCTGTGAGTAGTAGTAGCAGTGGTTGATTGCGTTCTCACGCCATGAAAAAGCGCATCAGCCACAGGGGGCAGCTCTGGCAATGAAAAACAAGCTTGTAAAAATATATCATCAACCGGAAACAAACAGCAACGGAAGAGCAAACATAACCGGCATTTTGAGTGGATGCTGGTGATCGAGGCCACCGGCTGACAGAACGAGTCGAAGAAAAATCAGGCTCTGATGGACGGGTGGACAGACGGACTATAGATGACGATCCTTGAAATGATTCAGCGCGACAGCAGTGTGTCTGGTCAGCCACTGACCAACACCACCAGTTTAGCGTTTACTACCAGCCTTACCTGGTGCTAACAACAACTACAACCAACATTTTATATACTACTTACCTCTACCCGCTGAAACCGCTTTATACGTTTATTAATATCAAGACACAGGGCGACAAACGGAAAAAATAATGCAAAAACGAAGTAAATAATGCAGAACCAGCAGCGTAGAATACCGTAACCGATTTACCGTCGCGTGATTGACATTTACCTTGTTTCGTACCGCTGTCTTCTCTTCTCGCTCCTTGCGTCGCACTTCTCGAACGTAATCATCAAACATCGTCTCCCGTTCACGCATTTTTTCGATGCCTTTAAAGCGACTGTCCCTACCGTACTTTGAGGCAAAGTCGCTGAATGATGACCTAAACATAACCGTAGGACCTGCGACGCGTTACCCTTAAGGATAACCTGAGAAATACTACGCAATCCTTCCAAAGGCCAATTTGTTATACAACATCAAAACAAGTGCGGTTTAACAGTCTTATCGATGAACATAAGGTTTTACATGTTATCAAGCGCAAGCAACGGATATGGACATACACTAAGTAAAAACAAGCGACGACCAACGATTAACGGCACTGAAAAAACAAATTCAACAAGCTGATCAAAACTATATATCAATGAGCGTTAAGCCCTGTAGAATTCTTAAGTAATAAAATGATCCATTAAAATGAAACTAAACCAAATCATCCATTCATTCGAAAGGCATTTAAAAGATATAACCTTAAATAAAACAGAACTATGCAGCACACATGAAAACATAAAGCATTCAACTTATTCTTTCTTTTATTTGTAGGTCCTGGGACATCAAACAGACAGATTTTTCGCACAATGACGAGGCGAGAGCAGCCAAACTGCTCTAAACCTCACGTATAAACTTATCGATACATTCACCAGAGGGAAAAAAGCAATGGAGTCACTGAAACTGGCTGCGCTGCAGATGCAAAGTGGGACTCAAGGAGTCATCAAAAAATGAAGACTGCGTGCACCATTTCACCGCGAAACATCCGATTCACATAACTGTCTGTGTAATCGGTTATTTTGTCTTTAATAATCATCGCACTGCTTAAATTTTGCTGTTTTGCACTCGGCAAATATTATTCTTCGCAGTCATGCATTTGGTAGCAAATGAAAAAGAACCCCAGTGCAAGTGGAATTACACCTTGCATGGAAGCGAGTTGAAAGGCAATGTCGACTTCGATGAGCAGCAAGATGTCTTAGTTATATGCTCAGGATTATCTAGTTCCGAAGATGAAGTGGATTACTGTTGCTGGTCATTAAACAATAATTACAAATGACTTATAAAAATGACTTTATTACGGAATCTAGATTCATGCCGGACTCTATTCAGCTTAGCCCCTGTTTAGGTTCAAATCATTAATGAGACAAATCACAGAATCAATGAAATTGTGAGTTTTGCATTGAGCAACACAAAAAATGAGAATTCATATTATTAGATAGGGGCTGCTCAGGCGGCAGAACGTCAGACTCCGAATACTAAGGGTGAAGGGATAGAGCACTGATCAGGTCACTCGTATCTTTTCTTTCTACAGTTGATAAAGAAACATACCAACGGAAGGAAACAGGATACTACGTACCATACAGCTGCGATCGACTCCA